ATCAGGGAGGAGATGCCAGAATCTATTATGGATACAGAAAAAGTAACATCCCAAAGGAAGAATTATATAAAATGCATAAGTATCTCAGCTCAAAGGAGAGTGGCTAGAACCAGGGAGGGGAGGGGGGCAAGGGGAGTAAAAAACCATCCTTAAAGTAGAGCTTGAATATTGGCAATTCAGAAAGAAAGGGATAGGAAAGCACTGACTGAGAGGACTTGTAAGAGAATGGGGTATTTTTTGTGTTTATACTAAGATTATAGGACACTGGAAAAAACATCCGCCTCTCTCTTCCCCCCCAATTTCATTGACAATGGCTCTCCCAAAGGCGGCACAACCTAATGAAGCATGAGGTTTATTTTTTGTGTGCTAACAACTAAGAGTGGTGAGGAAACTATTGTACATTTTCTAGCTTGTGAAGCAGGAATAAAAGACCAAGAATTAGCAATTTTTTCAGAATGCTATTTAGAGTATGCCCACTGTAAATGAAAGAACATTGTACATGAAGTCATAATTTTCAATTTCTTTTCCAACTGAAAAGGGAATAACTCATATCTTTGCATAGGCCTTCTTTGTATGTTCTAAATGTAGTTCACTTAAAAAAAACCTGAAGAATAAGGGAATTGGACTGTGACATCTACTTTATGAAAACTGCTTCATTTCCTTCATTTAGGAGATCTTTTTCTTTATGCTATCTTTATGCTACCTGGGAATCTAGGTGCTCTTCTGAAAATTCGTTGTTCCTTCTCAATGAGAAATCCTGTTGCTATAGCCATAAACATTATCCAAGTTTTTTAAATACTACAATCAGAAATCCCATTTTGGTCTCTTGACCTATTATCTTTGTCATTACAATCTCTAAGGACTTTAACAAGATCTGTTATAGGGTCTAGGAAATACATTTTACTGCCAAAATGGTTATATTAACTTACTGATTTACAGAATCTGTAAATTGTTTTTGATGTTCTAGAAGCCTACGTGACTGTAGCCAGACAGGAACCCCCCTGTAACATCCATTTTTGCTTGCCTGGAGCATACAGGGCACACAGAGCAGAAGGCCCAGGCTGTGTGACCGTGAATGACTATAAATAGAGATATGCCAATTGCTGACCAAGAGGCTGCCAAGGAGTGTCCTTGACTCAAACCCATATTGATCCAAACACACAGCCGTCCGCAGGGGGAGGAATCTCTCGCCCAGTAAAAGAATATCCGGCACTCCTAATTTAGCTATCTTCCTCTCTTGCAAGTGTAAATTAACTTGAAACTTGCTTGTAAGAACTGGCGCCACAAAACGGACCAGTACAATTTGGTCTCTTAGATAAGAAAAGAGGATACAGGCCCCCAGGGATATAAAGATGGGTCCAGCAGCACATTTACTCTGAGTGTCAATCTACCATCTATCTGCTGGTCGGGTTAGGTGTTTGATCTCCCAAGGTTCCAAGGGGACGCCCACCTCGTATTCGTCTTTCCTAGGAATTGAGAGACCGGCCCTGGCCTGACACGCTGGAGTCGAGAGGCACAGAAAGGGGTAAAAATTGTACCTAGATGTGGTCCTTTGTTTTAAGTGTACACATAGATTTAGAGCTCTTTAAAGATTAAGCTGTCACTTGGTACCATTATTTCTACTTTCTATCTTTATTTTCTTTGTAACTATTTTTTTTTAAATCTATATTTGCTAGCAGTTAAGAAATAGAGCAATAGCCATTGTAACCATATGCTTTTATAAGTCTTTTTAATAAACCTGTAACTGTTTAAGCTTTAACCTGACTCCTTCAGTTGCTGTAACAGAACCAAGCACAATTTAAAAGAACTTCAGCCGGTCAAAAAAGGACAGGCATAGGAAGAGCTTGGGCGTTTGGATTTGTGTCACTCCCAGGTGGCAGATCCGTTGGGGCACCTCTCAGTCTTTCCCAGGCTGCCCACTGCGAAGGAATCTTGCATTCTAGCAGCTAAAATCTAAGGTGTAAGAAGCTCTTCCTATAAAGGGGCATCTGTTGGCCTGCTGGCCACCCTCTGTGACGGGACCCCGGTCCTAGCAGTAAAGACACGGACGTTAAAACG